CATGTGTGTGTGTGTGTGTGTGTGTGTGTGTGTGTGTGTGTGTGTGTGTTGGTGTGTGTTAGGGGGGAGTGAGGGGTAGGCGGGTGGGCGGGTTGGTGGGTGTGTGTTTGGATGTATGTGCATGCGTGTGTTTTGAAGACGATTTACGCTGGAAATGAAAAACGTTTATTTTGTCCGTGCGGAAGGGGATGGGGAAAAGAGAAAGAGAAAGAAAGAGAGAGAGAGAGAGAGAGAGAGAGAGAGAGAGAGAGAGAGAGAGAGAGAGAGAGAGGGGGGATGGAAAGGCTGACAATTTGAGAGAGAGAGAATGGAGAAAGCAAGAGTGGGAAGAAGGTGAGGGCGAGACAGAGACACACAGAGAGACAGAGTAAACGATAGAGAGGGAGAGAAAGAGACAAACAAAGAAACAGAGAGTGAAACAGAAAGAGAGAGAGATGAAGATATGTGAGAGCGGAGGTAAAGAGACTACCAGCACACTTTAATATAATTTGTTAATGTTTTGTGTTGCTCTCATCAGTTCGTCTTCATTCAAAGAAAGTCTGTTTGCTCGATGTGAGAGGAAACACTGGGGAAAATTGGTTGCTTTTAAGCACAATGGGGCTATCCCGAAAAATGCTATTCTGAGATAATTAAAGGTAAAGTTGTTGCCCCTTATTCAGTTTCTTTAAAAAGACAAGGAGAGTTTTCTGTATAACCAAACAAATATAGACACGAATAAAACCAAACTTCTCCTAAAGGTAGGACAATGTCCATGTTTGGTGTAGGTCAAGATTTCTGAAAATCCCCGAAATCCGGGTTAGCCCGTTTGTCCTTAAAAGCGACCAATTGTATGTGTGTGTGTGTGTGTGTGGGGAGAGAGAGAGAGAGAGAGAGAGAGAGAGAGAGAGAGAGAGAGAGAGAGAGGTGTGCTCTAACCACCTTGAGGGCGTGAGACCGACGGGCAGAAATGTCTTGAAACAATAAGCAGTATTACCGCCAGGGATGTTTAAAAAGAGCACCACGTTTTTGTATGCACAGCAACATTCTCACGTAGATACTTGCTAAATGTTGTGGGTTTCTATTTCACTAAATAAATTGTAAAAAGCAACACATGCGTTTATTTTTGTGAATGTGCGTGTGTGTGTTGTGAAAGTTTCGTTGACGTGCGTGTATTTGTTTGTGTATGTTTGTGAGTGTACGTATTTGTGAGTGTATGTGTGTGTATGTGCGTGTGCATGTATATATATGTGTGTGTGTGTGTGTGTGTGTGTGTGTGTGTGTGTGTGTGTGTGTGTTGGTGTGTGTTAGGG